ACTGACTGTATATGGGTATGTCGCATGCCTAGAGAGTAGTCTATTCGATATACTTATTGAACCCGTTGTTTTACTCATTCCATTCAAATTCTAATCTTTTTTAGATAAAGTAAATGAAGATAATTTATAGAGCCAAAACCAGAATTTCACATTTAGTTTTCACCTGGTAAGTGTTCGTTCAGTTGTGAACTCTACAATTTTTGGTAATCTCATGATGTAAATTATGTTACATGTTGTATAAGGGATAAATAGTTTTTGTTGTACTTTTATTTTAAAATTTTATATTGTATCTTCTGGTTCAGTTGTGTTTGGCAGCGTGATTTCTTGTTGGGGTAAAAAAAATGGAAATTTATTATTGTATTTGAAGTTATGTTACAATTTTTTAAGAGTTCATTATTAATTTTTTTGAGGTGCTTATCCATACATGTTTTTGTACAAACTTTAGAAATTTTACTCGGGCCAGTAAATTTACTTTCTGACTAATTAATCTCCTTCTTAGTATTACGTCATGTGTTTGTCTTATAAGTGACTGATCTTATCTGTATGCTTTTGGTCCTTGTTTTCTAACATTTGGAGGTTAATTATCCTTCGTTCTAAGTCTATTTCACACTGCTTAATGGAGGGGAACAACACTGCAACCGTTTTTTCCAATATGTCGATTTGTGTTTAAGGGCCTAATTCTTTATTTCTACTCCGCTACTTAGTGCAAGATTTTTGTACTTTTTTCAAGGTTTTACATTATGAAAAAATGAATTTCTTACACTAACTTTTAAAAGTTTTATCCTGTATTGTTCTAACACTTCTCTTACTTACCATGCTCGTTCCTTGAACTCCTATAACAAATCTTAATTGATTGGAAAAAAATTTAGGAGCAAATTAAGGTGACTAGATAAATGATATAGTCCCATATATTCTTGACATGTAAAAGTAAGTAAACAATGACCCTGAATTTTATGTAAAGAAACATTCGTTGATGCTAAGTTTATTAAGGCAAAGGCAAGTCAAACTTCAATTATAAAAAGTTTAAATGTAGAAAATGTATCCATTCTTTATCTAACTATTTATTAATATGTATTAACAAATGTAATGTTAAGAGCATATTAATGGTCATAGTGACATAGTTACAACATGATATGACTAAAAGTCTAATACTACATAACTTAAGATGTAATCATGTTTATTGCTATATATGTAAAACCATAATTGGTCAACATTATAAAAGTTGGGTTGCCAAAGTTCCTCTCTAAATGGCCATGCCACATGTATTACCATCCCTCTCTACCGGTCTCGCCACGTTTGATTTTTTATTCTAAATCTCAATTATTATATGGACTTTATATATACAATTAAAATTCATAAATAAAAATAGTAAATTTAATTTTATCTAATCTTCAGAATTTATTAAACAAAAAATAGGTTAAACTAGTAATGATATCAAAACTAAAAATTGGCCATGTGAACTTGCAGAACGGTGACAATTTGGCAGCTTATGGTTTCGGCCAGCATTGAAGTAGTAGTAGCTGCCATAGATTTATCTAGAAATAAAATGGCGCCAAATTAGCTGCATGGAGGCCTATATGCGTGTCAACTCTGTGGCTATGACACAACCCAAAGCCATACAGAATGGATTTCCACGGATCTGCTTTGCTAATTAATCCAAG